ATCGTCAGTTGTATATCCAAAAGACGACGTCTGACTCACATAAAACACCCTATTGCGTAAATCTTCCACCAATTTCCACCGAAGTTGTTCACTGAGCTCAAACACCCTGACCTTCCTTTCGTCGTGCACAAGAAATACACCGAAAATTGTTTCCTCGTTTTCAGGTTTAATCAAGAAGCATTCTTTAATATTCCTACAAAGTCGAGTTTTCGTGAAACACCTTGGGAAGATATCAAAGGACCATATACCATCGGTCATGTCAAACCATGCCACATTTCCTATAACATCCAAAAAATATATTTTTCCATCATGCAAAATTGGAGGACAAAAGGACACATTGAATTGATGATCTATATCCAATAAAACTACATCCCATCTATCCTCTCCATATTTAAGAACCCCTACTTCCACCTCATGATGTGTGTTAGATAGAATTCCAACAATTAGACAATCCGGTGAAGTTGGCGGGTGGAAAAAACATATTGTGTTGTACATGGTGCGATGACTTGGGATGGGGGGGAGTTCAATCGTCTGATTGTTGAAGGGATCAAAGAAAAAAAGGGTTCGATCATCTGGGGACATCATGAGCAACCATCCATCATTGGAGAAACGTACGGTTGCATCTTTTAGTAATGTGGGAAAGTTCATCCGAAAAAAACAGTTGTGCTGAAAATATTTCGAAACATGATTGCTCTTTCGGTTGAACGTCATTAGACAAGGAGAAGGATGATACGGTGAAGCTTTCGCAACTCTATTCCAAGATTCACATACTAGACTAAAACTATACCTGTCTTTACCCAGTACGTTCGCTAGTACCAAAAAAAGAAGCTCTTCAGGGATATCATTCCAATCCTCCATCGCTTATAATCTATCACATAAAACCATTGTGAATACACTAGTAATAAAATTCTCATGCATAATTCTCTAAATAACCAAAAAAAAAATAAAGAAAAAAACACTAATTTGATATCGTAAAATCAAGAGGAACTCAAACATATCTTGCAGGATTTAATAACAAGAAAAACTTGTATTCAACATCTAAAAGAAAATAAAAATACGGAGAAAATAAATTAATCACCCTGCAAACAACTTTATTTTATTGGCTTCCATGTTTTCAATATATTTCATTAAAGAAAAAAAATAAAATAAAATTTCTAAATATACGATTCAAATACTTAAATTTTCTCTCTCTTCCCAATACGAATCCATCGTTGCAATTGGAAGAAGGTGTGAGATTTCAATGGAACTAAGAAAATCTGAAATCAAACTCAACCAGAAAATTTCAATCCCAATTCTTTGTATTCATTTAATTTTTATTCCAACTACACCTTCAAGTATAGAATTTTTCTTCATATATTACTATTTTAATGGAACACCAAAAATAAACTCTTAAATTGATCAACATGTATTAGAATCAATAATTACATACCTTTGATAAATATTGGATGTCGATCAGCCAGCTATCAAAACAAGTGCGTTGTGAATTTAGTATTTTTTGTCAGATATATATAACGTTTTTTTTTACGTACTCTCTCCAAGTTGGAAGAATTTAGTATTTTTTGTCAGATATATATAACGTTTTTTTTTACTCTCTCCAAGTTGGAAATATTTTCCTACTCTAATTAGGACGCTAAATATATATATAATAATAAAACCCTAAAAAGATAAGACGTACCCTTGCAAAATATAATTAGGAAATTAATAGAAAAAAATAATAATAATAATAATATTGATTTTTGTTTTTCTTTGTAAAATGTAAATCTCAATAGTGCGTAGGTATGGATATTTTATTTTTGTTTTAAAAAAATAAAAAAAAATGTATGGATATAAATACAACAGACATTCCTAGAATTCCTAGTTGGAGAAGATTTATGACTACCTTTTTTTCAAATATTTTTCTTATTTTTATTCAGATTTGGTTTCCGTGAGTACGTAGTAATTAGAGTTGCACCCTAATTTAATTACGTTATCTTCCTTTTTTAATTATTGGCCATGTAAATCCTATATATATATACACACGTTCCCCTCTTTCTATTAAATCATTCGAATTCATTCTACTCAGACGCAACCATTGGAATTCTGTAAGCCCCTCAAATTTTTGTTTGTTTATTTGTTCGAGTACGTTGTTAATAGTTTGAGGAGAAGAGAAAATTTATTAATCGAATTCGGGATTTGTTGTTCTAATGAATGACTATTGATATGGATTTGTTTACGAAACTTTGTCGTTCGATTTTTTATTTTTTATAGTTTTCTAGCTTGTAACGTTGCTTCTCGGATTTATGTAGAATCTTATTGATATATTAATCAGAAACAAAAAATGGACATACCTGTATTTATGTATTTCAATTTTCAAGTATTTTTAATTAATGCCGTTGAAATAGTTACAATAAACTTGTTTATATTACATTATAGACTATTCTGTGCATGTTTGACATGTTTATGAATGTATATTTATGTCCTCTTACAAGTCTTCTTGTCATTAATTTGTCATTTATATTTCTTTTTTCCCTCTTCCTTTTTTCTTCTACTTTTCTTGTTTTTTTTTTTTTTTTAAAAGACCCATGAATATTTACAGGTGCAGGTAATTCATCACTATGGAAACAAATGGCATAAACCGAGAGAGCAAAACTCCTTTGCTTATGATATCCCACGGGGAATCGGTGGAAAAACATTTAATTTACAATCCATCCGAGAAATCGGTTCGCATGTTAAACAACGTTTCGGTCTTGAACGGCAAGAAGGTACTCGGTTCTTTTTATGGATGGTTAGTTTTAGTGAAACCCGCTGATGTTGATGGTGATTGTTGTCTTTTCAATCCAATAACCGAGGAAAAAATCGAGCTCCCAAAACTCGATGACTCGCGCACTTACAGTCAATGTATTTTGACCAAACCCCCCACTGAACCTGATTGTTACATTTTGTTCAATGGATTGGAACAATCTTTTTGCCGGATTGGAGACGGAGAATACGTGACACGGACATTAGAACAACAAGAAGTAGAAGAACAAGAAAATGGTCGTGTTGGTTTTGACGATCTTCGGACGATTTCATCTTTTCAAGGTACTACTTACGGCTTCATGGATCCCGATAAATTTGTTACCATTCATTTCGTGGGGAATACTATCGAGTTTAGGCAGATACCAATGGTGGAGCCTTCGGTCATTCCTCATTCGTCGAGAGCATATGACATATGGTTGATTGAGTCTTGTGATGGTGAGCTCTTGGTAGTTCAAAGAATACATCCTTTCACAAAGAGTTGTTACGATGGGATGGACTTTACAGTTTTCCGGTTCGATACAAATCGAATGAGTTACGCTGAGATAGAAAATATAGGGAATCGAACAATTTTTGTCAGTCGAAATGGTGCTGGATATTGTTGTGCTTCTCAAGAAACAAAACCAAATTCGATTTACTATACAAATGAAGACGACAGAAATTTCAACATGAATCACGACAGAAATCTCCATGTATTTGATTTGGAAAATAGGAGCACACACTCGATGCTGCCATCCTCTAAAGTTGCGACCAACAAGTTAATAACAACCTGTTGGGTGCAACCCGAAATATTCCATGGTCCCTAATATTTTCATTCTTCCATTATATATATATGAAGATAGGTTTGAATCTAGTGTTACAATTTTATATTAGTTTATTTATTTATTTTCTTTTGTCATGATTTTATTCTATTCTAGTACTTTAAGAGAGAACGCAATCTATTTTATCAAGTTCTATTTATATAAGCTAAAAACGTGAAATAACTTTAAAAAACGCAAGACACTTCTTCTTTACCTCCAAAACGTCACCGTTCAACTTACATGAAAAATGATAAAACGGCTAATACCACTACAAGCTTCCAACTTATTCAATATTTTATCTGAAATGCTATTCATAGAACAACTTTTACCGGCTTGCAGTGCAACTTTATTTCATTTGTAATTTTTCAAGAAAAAAACCAGCATTTCGTATTCCCTAACACGAAATGGATAGAAGCATTTCGTGCAAAGTAGCACGAAATAGTGTTTTTTTACGATGTACGAAACCATAGTATTTTAGTTTTTTATGTATTTCGTGTAAATTTACACGAAATACAAGCTTGAATTTCGTGTAAATTTACACGAAATGCAAGCTTGAATTTCGTGTAAATTTACAGGAAATGCAAGCTTGCATTTCGTGTAAATTTACAGGAAATGCAAGCTTGCATTTCGTGTAAATTTCCAGGAAATGCAACGTGAAATCACTATTTTTTTTAATTACTCCATTTTTAACACTCAAATAAATACAAGAGAATAACAACAAACTTAAAATGAAATTCAAATACTAAATAAACTAAAATTCAAACGTAAATACAAATTAAAATAAACCTATATTTCGTAAACTACGTACCATACTTTAATATAATAACAATATACACAAATCCATAAGACATTGCATAGTATTCATAACAAAAAATATATATTGCAAAATCTACAACCAAACTACAAAAATTATATGGTTTACATGCTAAAATAAAAAAAATTAATAGTAGCTTTTTTATAGTCGAAATAAACGGAATTGAATTTTTCTTTTCTTTATTAATTCTTTCTTGTTTTTTTTCATTATTGTAAATGTATTTATCAATAATTTTTTTTGTCGATTCAAGAAAGAGTTCCGTATTTATTTTGGGAATATTAATAATATATATAAATATATTTGTGTATATTTTTTCAATAAAAAAATTAAAAAAAAGGTAATTTACAGGCTATTTGAGCATTTCGTGTAAATTAACGTGAAACAACTATTTTTTTTTATTTTTTTTAATTATTTCATTTTTAACACTCAAATAAATATAAGAGAATAACAACAAACTTAAAATGAAATTCAAATACTAAGTAGACTGAAATTCAAATGTAAATACAAATCAAAATAAATATTTCGTAAACTACGGACCGTACTTTAATCGTGAGATTCTTGTTCTTGTTCCTGCATAACAAAAAATCGTATTAAATAACTTCATTTTTTTAAGGGATTTCACATTATTTAATACGATTTTTTTATGTAGGAACAAGAACAAGAATCTCACAATTTGATTCATAAGATTTAGGATTCGATTTGCTATAAAAACATATATTTTAAGAATAAAACTAAATTATGCTAAAATTATTGGTTTTGATTACAAACACTAGTTACATATGATCCTAAATCTTATAATAATAATAAGAATAATAATAATAATAATTACATTGATGAATATTACAAATTAAATGACCATAAATCATACACTTTTAATACTTAACTTTTTTCTTTATTGTTTTAAAGAAATTGGTCTGTTTACTATTAATTTTTTTTATATTTTAGCATGTAAACCATATATTTTTTGTAGTTTGGTTGTAGATTTTGCAATATATATTTTTTGTTATGAATACTATGCAATGTCTTATGGATTTGTGTATATCATTATTATATTAAAGTATGGAACGTAGTTTACGAAATATAGGTTTATTTTAATTTGTATTTACATTTGAATTTTAGTTTATTTAGTATTTGAATTTCATTTTAAGTTTGTTGTTATTCTCTTGTATTTATTTGAGTGTTAAAAATGGAGTAATTAAAAAAAATAGTGATATCACGTTGCATTTCCTGTAAATTTACACGAAATAATACAAAATTCTGAAAAATAAAGCGTTTCGTGTTGTATTGCACGAAATGGAGTATTTCATTTCGTGCAACAGAACACGAAATTCATAAAAATGTCGAAAATCGACAAAAAACTCATTTTTTAATCTCAAAATCGATTTAGGTTTCATACTTCTTGATAATTATTGTGTTCTAAATGATACTATCGGACAAATTTGACGATTTGGTAAGTTTTAAAATTCGGAGGTTGAGAGGATTTCGAAAAATGTTAAAGGGTTTTTCGACAAATGAATTATTTCGCACTGTAACCGGAAAAAATTGCACTATGAATAGTAAGCCCCATATTTTATATATATGAATATTATAAAAAAGAAAACTCAATTTATTAAATATTTTTCTTGTGTTTTATTATGTGGAATATAGACATTAAACAATATTTATTTGTGGCCCAATATTATATTTCAATAAGCCCAATAGAGTTGGCCCAACCAAAACCTCTCAAAATTATTTGTCTTTCACAATTTATAATATTAATAATAATTTAATTTATTCAGCTCCGCCTAAACCCCCAATTGTTCTGCTAAAACCCCTTTCCGCAAGTTATCGAGTGCGGACCAAAATTTTCGTCTGTGTTTGTTTCCGCCATCTCCTTCAATCTCCTAATCACCAAGGTAACTATTTTTCTTTTCTCATAATTAATGAATTGGGTTTCAATTTGTTGGTCAGTTTGAATTCGAACTGAAATCTTCGTAATAAAGTTCATTGCTTTTTTCAGTTAGTTCAAAATTTTCAGTTCAACTAGGGTGCTGATTTTCCCCTTCATGTTTTCGATTTTTTTTCAATTGATTGTCGGTGGTGAATGATTGGAGTGGCAGAAGAGTTTCGTCATTATTAAAGCAACCAATTTATGTAGTGCTTTTTGAATCGATTAATTACTTCTGAGGGCTCACCTAATTACAGCAGCTTCTGCTCTGCAAAGCATCGTTTTGTATTTCTTAATTTGATGATGATAGCTTCGTATGAAAAATAGATCCATATAATTTTATGTAGTGATTTAGTGACAAAAAAAAGCTATATTCCTTTAGCCTATACGATGCCTAAATTCGTAGTTGATCTTATGTTTTATGTGATTTTGCAGCTGCTAAGAATTGGTGGTGTTTGTCAAATGCGTGTTCAGTCATGCAGATGGTACCGCGCATTTGCTGCATCAAGATGTGCAGTGGGTCCCACTTCGAATCTGCATGCCTTCTCCATTTCGTAAGCTGCCCAGAAGCCTTTCCTTTCATCAAATCGAAAGATGCATTCCTATGAAATGGAAAGAAAGCATCAAACCACCACCATTGGATGTGGGGAAAAAACCCAAGCCACAATCTTGTTTTTCCAACGAAACGATTGTACTATTACCCGATGAGAAAACCGATAATTGTCTGGTCGATTGCCTTGCCATCACATTGAAAGATTCCGCCCGCAATGGCCGTTTGTTCAAAGCCTTAAGAATATTTTCTTCCTCTGCGTATCCCGTTTTCGTTGTAGACTCGTTATCCTCTCTGTTATTGTCTTGTGCAAATCTCGAGTTGCTTCGACAAGGCAAACAGCTTCATGCCCAAGTTATTACATGGGGTCTTCACAAAAGCCAAGCATTGGTTCCAAAGCTCGTGTCTTTTTACACAACGTTTGGTTTTATCGAGGAAGCTCATTTTATAGCTGCAGATTCGAACATTCTGCACCCTTTGCCTTGGAATGTTCTTATTTCGTCGTACGTGAGTGAAGGGCGTTACGATGAAGCTATCTTCGCCTACAAAGAAATGGGTCATAAACGGGTTATACCCGATCGTTTCACTTACCCGTCTGTTCTCAAGGCCTGTGCAGAACAATCAAATCTTGAATTCGGTAGAGAAGTTCATAAGTCGATCAATGCTACTACCTCTTTGAAACGGGACTTGTTTGTTCAGAATGCGTTGGTTTCTATGCATGGGAAATGTGGGGATCTTGAAACTGCACGAAGCATCTTCGAAGAAATACCGGATAAGGACGAAGTATCGTGGAACTCGATTATTTCTCAATATGCCTCGAGGGGTATGTGGGACCAAGCTTTCGAACTTTTCGAAAGCATGAGAGTGGCCGGTATGAAATTAAATATTATAACTTGGAATACTATTGCTGGAGGTTGTTTGAGAACAGGCAACTTCGTAGGGGCTCTTAAGTTGATACGTCAGATGAGGACAGGTGGCGTTCGGTTAGATCACGTGGCGGTGATTATTGGATTAGGTGCTTGCTCTCGTATACGTGAGTTGAAATCAGGGAAAGTAATTCACGGTTTTGCAATTCGAAATGCTTCCATCGAATATGATAATGTGAAGAATGCGCTGATTACGTTGTATTCTCGGTGTGGAGATCTTACGCATGCTTATGTCGTCTTCAGATTGGTGAAGGGTAAAAACGTAATTACGTGGAATTCGATTATATCCGGTTTTGCAAAAAGGGATATGTCCGAAGAAGCCTTTTCTCTCTTCAGAGAATTACTTCTTGCAAAAACCGAACCGAACTACGTGACACTCGCATGCATCCTACCCCTTTGCGCACGTGTGGCAAATCCGAAACACGGGAGAGAGATTCATGGCTATATTGCCACGCGTGCGGAATTTCGGGGGAATTTATTACTGTGTAACGCTCTTATCGAAATGTATTCAAGAACAGGTAGTGTTTTAATAGCTAGACGAATATTCGATTCAATGGAGACGAGAGATTTAGTGACATACACTTCGATGATAAGTGGATACGGCTCACAAGGGAAAGGTGGGATTGCCGTTGACCTTTTCGAGGAGATGATAAAATGTAATATAAAACCTGATGATGTGGCGATGGTTGCTATTTTGTCTGCTTGTGCTCGTTCGAGGCTCGTTTCTCAAGGTCAGTTGTTTTTCGAAAAGATGGTGAGCGTCTACTGTATAACTCCTAGCTTGGAGCATTTTGCTTGCATGGTTGATTTATATGGGAGGGCTGGTTTATTGAAGAAAGCGAAGGAGGTTATTTTGACGATGGGTTATTGTCCGACGGAGCAAATGTGGGCCATGCTTATCGGAGCGTGTAGGGTCCACGGGAATACGGAGATTGGGGAATGGGCGGCTGAGAAGCTTCTAGAAGTTTCGAAGCAGAGGGACAGATGACCAACATTTTTGAGCTATTATAAACTTTGTAATTTATGGTGTATACTTGCAATTTTTTTGACTTCACAATTGGTTTAACCAACTGTATGTGCATCATTAAAATTCGAATATCTGATAAAGTTTAATATATTACGGAATTATACGAGTACCAACAAATTTTAGGGTAAATTACAAACCTTTCCATGAACTTAGACTAAATTATGATAAATACTCCCAACTATCCGTAATCATCAAATCCCCTGATGTTTGTTTTCGTCTTACACCGACCCCCTTGCGATGTATTTTTTTACGGATTTTTTTTTTATCACAAGTAAAATTTCCCGCAAAATTAAATTCCATCTTTGCAAACGTGGCATTTTTTCTATGCTACTTTTTAAAGATAAATATTACTGTAGGGGTACAACTGACATTTCTCGGGCAAAAATAATTGGAACAAAAATATCCCATAAAAAATCACACCGTAAAAGGCCGGTGTAAGATGGAAACAAATGTCGCGAGAATTTAGGTAATTACGGAGGTAGGGGTATGTTTCGTATTGTAGGGGTACAACTGACATTTCTCGGGAAATATTAATCGGAACAAAAATATTCCATGAAAAAATCACACCATAAAGGGCCGGTGTAAGATGGAAACAAATGTCGCGGGAATTACGGATAGGTGGGGATATTTTTTCGTAATTTAATCTAAGTTATGTGCTTTTTTTTGTAATTGAACATAAATATGAACTAATGGGCTTCAATTCAAGTACGATTATTATGAGTGGGCCTGTTTCAAAAAAACAGCGAGTCAAAAAGCCCAAACATAAATCTCGGAAGACAACAACGATTAGGGTTTTCTTCACCCTTCCTATATAAACCCGGGACTCGTCACTCTATTTCTCAGATTTAGGGTTCATCATCATCTTCAGTTCTACAGTTAGATCCCCAATTGTTATTATATTTATTTATTTATTTATTTAAATGTGGATTGATTATAGAGAAGAAAGGGGCAGTGATTGGAAATGTCATGCACCACTCTTACGAGATGATCCTCCCGTATGATGATAATGACTCATACCCATATGATTTCTGAGCCCTAATTTCTTTCTCAATTCCCCCCCCCCCCCTTTTTTTTTTTAAATTCAATTTCTTCTTGATGAAAATTAATTCGAAAGAGGAACCAAATGATGCGATCTTTCTTTTAGGAGAAAGTTCAAACCATGATGCGGACCGTACAATAGCTTTATGCTGCTGGGGATAAATTTTGGTGTCTGATGGTTTCCTCTTCTAATTTTTTTTTATTCTTTGAAATTTTTTGGTTTATTATTTTTTTTTAAATTCGAAAACAGGGCATCTAATTTTAGTTCAATTAGTTAAAAATCGTGTTTAGCTAATCCAAATTATTTGTTGGATTTATCTTTGCATTTTTGCACTTTCTAGTTATTTAATTGGTACAATTAATTAATCTGATTACTACTTGGTTCTTCGTAATTAGTTAGATTAATGATTCTTAATTATTTTATTTTCAATTCTGTTTCCCCAAATTTGTTAGCTGTATTAAATTAATTTAGGTGTTTGAAAAAAAAATTCTATTTTTTTGTTGATTATGGAATTGAATTAAATGTTACAAATATGTTGTTAATTTTTTCGTTATTTGTTCTCGTTGACTATGAATTTTGATTAAGTTTAACAAATAGGATTTTTGAATAAGGTCATTAAATTTAATATTCGTAATTGTATGTTTAAAATACAAAATAATTTAATATTATAATAATGATAAAGAAGATTTGATTAATAGTGTTATTACCATACTATTATTAACTTGGTATAATGTAATTTGGGCAAAATATAATTAGTTGGCCAGCCAAATTCAAAATCTTGTAAAGAAAGAGATAAGATTAAAAGGTCCTATTTGTGGACGAGAAAAAAAAATTAATGTAATAATTGATATTTGTAAATTATTGTACACGTCCTATTATTCAAATATGGGTGTCAAAGATGTTGATATATATGAAATATATTTATTATAATATGTAATTATAATATTAAGTGGCATCTTCGGAATTATGATTCCATTATTCAAATGTTGCTGCCATCAATAGTTACGATTTATATTATTTTAATGAGAAATATGTCATCAAATTCAACAAGGACTAATTTTCTTCCTGATTTATTCTATATAAGAACCGCAATACTTAAAAGCAATGGATGATGGCGATTATCTCCTTCTCTTGGATTGTGGAACGCCGCTCCGTCTTGTTGAACTTTCGACTCTCGAAGGCAATCGGATGCCCTTCTTGCATCAAGACCTCTCCGGCAAAGTCGGAAGCGTTCGTGTGTAACTCGAATGACTTTCCAAAGTCCGATAAGGCGAGGACCGGCTCTTAGCTCACCGCTGCCTTTAAGTCCTGGAACGTCCGTTGGCATGAGTGGAACCACTCCCATGCCTTGTTCTTCTTGAGAAAGTCAGTGGTGCCGCTCGTGCCGAGAACCCTTTTATGACCCGTCGATAGTAATTAACTAAACTTAAGAAATGAACGTAATTCGTTTACCTTTGTCGGCGGTTCCCACCCGGTGATAGCGTTGATCTTCGCTCCATCCAATTGTAGTGGCCCGTGTCCGATGATGTGCCACAAGAATAGAACCTCCTCGTCGGCAAAGTCTCACTTCTCCTTCACAAAGAGTTCGTTCCCCCAAAATACTTGGAAGACGGTGCGAAGGTGGTTGGCATGCTTCTCCATGATGTCGCTATAAACGACGATGTAATCTAAGTAAATCACCACAAACCAGTCCAAGTATGGATGGAATTGAAGATTCTGTTCATGAAAGTGCAAAATATTGCCGGGGCGTTGGTTAATCCAAACGACATGACGAGCCATTCATAAGAACCCGTAACATGTGATGCATGTTGTCTTAGGCTCGTTTCCTTCGAAAATAGCATGCATCTGCGAAATATGTGTCTTGAATTGGAAGATAGTAGTTCAGTGACCTCTTGGGTGGAACCCCAAGTCTTTCCACAAATTATTCAATATTAATTATTTTTTATTTTTTATTTTTCTATTAGTATTTATAGACTTGTTGCTTTAAATTTTACCACATTGTTGTGACCAAAGGCAATTTTGTTTTGAATTTATCAATTTAATTAAAGTATAAATATGGTGAGATATCCTATAATAATTGAATCCAACCACAACCATGAAAATGACTTACATTAGTTGGGACATGATAATTTGTGGACAAGAAAATTACCACTTTATTAAATAATTATTTATTTTCCACGTCCAGATATTCAACACCGGCTGCTACCATCGATAAATATATAACAAGTAGAGTAACTAAATTGTTGAAATATATGAAACATATATCTGATTCTGGTCATATAATAATTAATTAAATGGCATCTTCAGACAGTAGTAATAATATTAGCACAGAGAAATACAGATCATATTTGAATGAAGAAGATGATGTTAAGAACATCAAATGGAGATATGGTGCTCCTCCTAACTACGACGTCGTAAACAAGCTCTTCGAAGAAGGCCGAACGAAGGTATTATTGTAATTTTTTATAATTTTTATAATTTTTTTTTAATTTTTTTAATTTTTTTAAATTTTAAAAAATGGTTTTAATAAAAAAAATTAAATATAGATATGGAGTGCTGGTTCAGTTGAAGAAAAGGTGCAGAATCTAGTGAAGACATGGGAAATGGAGATGTTTCACAAAGTCAACTTTGATGAGTATAAAACTGTGGACCCTCTTAAGTATAGGTTTAGTCTTAATGGTAATTAATCTATCTAATCTTGCATAATTAATTAATTTTTATTTTTTTTTAATTGAAATTAAATTAAATTATTTCAGGAAGAAAAGCACTGTCACTCGAAGAGAAAAGAAAGCTTGGAGGAGGAGGTTACAATTCCTTGCTGCAAACATCCTTACCAGAAAAGTTCAGGTGTTTAAAATCGGAATCGAATTTCCGAATTCTGCTGATTTCTGATCCAAAAACTTCCGATTTTGGAACAATTTCGATTCCGATTCCCAATTAATTTTTTCGACAAAATTATATATATATATATAAAGTTCTCATTGTTCTAAAATTTAATGGAAAATAATTTACTAGGAATCTGAATTTCACAAATTCCGCTGCTTTCAACCCGAAATTTTTTCCAACTTCCGATTTTAGTTTTGAATTGAAATTGGAATTACTCTATTCCTAATCCAAAAAAAAAAAAAAAAAAAACTAATTCCAATCCGATCAATATGATTTCCATATTTAGGTGCTTCAATCCAGCGGAGGAAACAGTTGACTCGTCGCACCTTGCTTTCACAACGGCGTTTCCAAGAGGATTCGCTCTGGAGATTATTCAGGTGTACTCCGGTCCACCGGTTATCGTGTACAAGTTCCGGCACTGGGGTTTCATGGAGGGCCCTTTTAAAGGCCACTCTCCTACCGGTGAGATGGTTGAATTCTTTGGCATGGCCATTTTCGAGGTACATATATTTATCATGGCCAAATTACGGCCATCCATTAAATAATATAATGTCAAATTACGAAAATACCCTTGGTAAAAATATTGTGTCACGTTTATTCAATTTTTGTTATAAAATAATAACGATTTGATGAAATATAGGTTGATGAGAATTCGAAGGTTGTGAAGGTCGAGTTTTTTTACGATCGAGGGGAGTTGCTTGGTGGTCTTGTGAAGGGGGCTGCATTATCCGACGATGTTGTTACTATGAGTAAAGACGTTTCTTCGAGCTGCCCTTTTTTGAGTAGCAACACCGGATAATACAAGAACACGATTATTACAGAATTCGATGTTGTTGTTAATTCCTATTGCGCATGGTTTTGTACTGTAGAATAAATAATGTGTGAACCACAACTACCAGTCTACCACCATATGTCGTATAGTATCCTTAATGAATTCTCTTGTTTTCCATTTAATATTTTGCAATTCTTTTGTCTTGACCAAGAAAATATAGTATGTAAATGAATTTATTAATTTATCGAGTATTAATTTATGAAGGTTCTGCTGGCTATGCTTTTGGAATCATAATTGTGTCTGGCTGCTTTTAATTCAGTATAATATAACAAATTAGTGGTCCTAAATCTTAATTAATTTAATCCCATATAGGTTAGTTTATCTTTGGAGTTTTAGCTTTTCAGTACGTTGGTGGTATGAATGATTGAAGGTGATAATCGAGGTAGTACTATAATAAAAATCGAATCACGAGTCGAATCGAAATAAATACTTTCTGGGAAAAAAATAATCAAAAATTTTGAAATTGGAATTTCGAAAATTGAAATGTAAAGGTTTGATTCAAAATCGGTATTATTTGGATCAGAGTCGACAAAATTTGAAAATTCAATTTAGTTAATAAAAGAAAATACATAATAATATTAATCTTACAAGTGTACGTGAATTATTTTTGAAAATTAAAATTAGATCGATAATTAAAATTTCACATATATTCCATTTCGGTCAATTTTAATTTTTTTCCCCAGAAAAACTAGATTTTTTCTTAACTTGGAAAATGATCGAAAAATCGATGGATTTCGCAAAATTTGTTCCAATTTTTTTCCCGGAAAAATTGGAAATATCTTAACTTGGAAAGCAATTATGGGATCGAAAAATCGGCGAATTTCACATAATTCGTTCCTATTTCCAAACCCTATTACAAACTTCGTATACTTCATAACAAAAGTTTAAATTAAAGAAAAATTTGGTGAATTTTTTTCAAATAATTGCCATGTACTAATGATCTTTTGAATAGTATAGAAGTAAAATACGAAGGGGTCACCACCTACCCAAATATTGTCACGTGCACAATGCATGGTTTGTCGTTCTCTCTCTGGCTGCGGAACCACATTCAACGAACCTGAAAACACGAACTTTTTCGACTTTCGTTTTTATTGTTTATTACTATAATATAATATAAAGAATGATAAATATAAAAAAATAAAAATAAACCTTTGTTGAATATTATTATTAACAATGTGGACAAACCACAAGTTGCTGGGAAACTTTTGATTATTCTATATAAGAACCCCACTAATGGAATCCTTTTATCTCAACAATTATTGTTCAAACATTAATCCAATATTTATTACAAGACTCAGAAAAAAACATTGCAAATTAATTAGTTCATATCTGTCTTGAAATTAATTGTCGAAAGATACAGAAGCGCGCGCGCGGCAAACAAAAAAAAAAAAAAAGATGAAATCGAAACACGCTTTTATGCTCATTGTGCAGTTCTTGGTCTTCGCTTTAGCCTTTGGTATTACTCGATCATCTGAATTTGTTTTCATGTTCAAGTGTTTACAAAATTTTGTTTAATGATTTTTTTTTATAATTATTTTTCAGAGGCTGCGATCGGTGCGACCTGCACAACACCGAGTTCAGCCGGTTCGGAAGGCGGAGACAAGTACAGATGGTACTTAACACCCGAGGATTTGGCCAACACCAAATGGCTTAGTGGTGTTCCTAATTACGACGTCGTTAATAAGCTCTTCGAGGAAGGCCGGACCCACGTACGTTTATATATATGCAATTAATTGTCTCGTTGTTCTTGATTTTACATTTATACACATATGTCACACAAATTAACAAAATCAATAAATATGCAAAAGTTATACCAAAAATATATATAGAGAGAATTACCAAAATACCCTTTTCATAAATAGCTTCTCAGTTAATTATCTTTCGAGTAATTTAGAGTGATAAATTGAAAACACTGCAGTTAATTAAAAATTCATTGCAATTCTAAAGTGATAAATAATTTCGAACAAAACAAAATAAATCCAAATGAACTAGTAATTATTAATCCGATAATTTTTAATTTTTTTTTTAATTTTATATATATTTATTAATAATTAATATTGGTTTTGTGTGGCAGGTATGGGAAGCTGGATCACTTGAAGAATATGTGCAAAGTCTTGTGAAGACATGGGAATTTGAATTGGTTCAAAAAGCCGATCCAAATGATTACAAAACAGTTGTTCCAAACTTTATCCTAGGAATCAATGGTAATAAACTTAATAATATTATAATTATGTTTTATTGCAATTAAAAAAAAGTATGTGTATATATTTTAACAAAATTTTGAAATTAATAATAGGGAAGAAGTATTTTACATTGGAGCAAATTGGAAAGATAGGGGGAAGCTACAACGTGTTCCTTCAAACTTCGTTACCGCCATCACTTCGATTTTACAACCCCGACGAAGAAACGTACAACTCGTCTCAGACGGTGTTCAAACAAGTGTTTCCACGTGGATTTGCTTTCGAGATACTTCAAGTTTTTTCGGGCCCACCTGTCATCGCTTTCAAGTTTAGGCATTGGGGTTATTTCGAGGGATCTTACAAGGAATATGCACCTACCGGCGAACTCATCGAATTCTTCGGAACTGCCATTTATACGGTACGTACTAATTAAGTTTTCGTATAATAAGTAGTGATTTTCGTCGTTTGAAGTGTGTTTTGTGAGAGTGTTTTTAATTGTGCGAATCTTGAAATTCAGTTGAATGAGGAATGCAAAGTGACGAACGTTGAGTTTTTCTTTGACCGCGGAGAGTTGCTGGCTGGACTACTTAAGGGCAAAACTTCCGATGAAGCGGCCGCACTTTCCGGCGGCTGCCCCTTCGTACAATAATAGTTTGGCCATGGAAGAAAAATTGATCACTTCATATAATTTTTACTTTTTTTTTTTTTGTTTATGGAACCAATGTTGAATAATTTGAATAGGTTGTAATGATCTATTCATGTGTAATTTGGAATTAATTTTTTTTTTTGGTTTTCAAAATTTGATTCAAGGGCTTATAAGCTTATTCTTGAATTGAATAAATATAAGAATTTCCTCTATAACATGGGGAATAAATCACGAACACCTTGAATTCAAATGTATTATGAATAGCAATAAAAACTTGAGACTGAATTTGTAAGTCTACGTGAGTCTTTTTTTTTTCCATTCACCGAAATCCTCATTTTATAGGCACGGGCTACTGTTTCTTGACTTGTTGGCATGGGCCATACCTTTGTAAAGCCCAAATATAACATGGACTGATTTGGGACTCAAATTAATAACCGATTTATTTGGTTATTAGTCGGTAAATTGTCCAAAAGTAAATATATTCTAATTAATTTATAAATTACAAATTCAAATATTAAATATATCAATTGCATTAAAAGACCATGATGAAATAAGTGGTTTCTTCATGCAGTTAGTTACATCATGCGTTCTGCAATTCCTTTGACCTGCCAAATTCCCCTGTTTCACAACAAACACACCTCAAATTAAAATTAAATTTGCCCTAAATTAATAAATATTTTAATTCATACCAAACATTAATATCTCTCTCTCTCTTCAATTAATTTCGTCCATAAAGAAATCGTTGCATATTTTGTATTTTCTTGTAGCCATGTCTGACACCTCTGAATCCGAATTCCTTTCAAGTACTTCAACCCGGTTCGTCCATTCAGTAGCCGGGTCGGGTCGGATCCTCCCTTCGTCCTCAACCCGTAATTGGAACTCAATCGACCTCGATTTCAATCTCCTCCCTCAACTCACCGACCGATTCCACTCACTCCCCTCAAAATTCTCAAAATCGGTCGATTTCAACCTAACCATTTCCGACAAAACCCACTTCAAACGCTGCGTTTCGATCTCAATTTTCTTACTCCTCCTCCTTATTCCACTATCAATTCTGCTTCCACATTCTCTCACACACAGCAAACACACACCAGATCACCCACCTCCCAAGAATCTCACTCTTGCTTTGAACCAAGCCCTTCTCTTCTTCGATGCACAAAAGTGTACGTACGTTATACGTACGTACTCAATACTCATGCATGCATGCATGCATGTAATTAATTTTCTCATGTTTGTTTTTTTTGTGTTGACAGCTGGCAGTTTACCGGAGAATAGTACGATGAAGTTTCGTGGAAATTCAGGTTTAGATGATGGGAGAGAAGGTGGTGGTATTAATGCAGATCTTGTGGGAGGGTTTTATGATTCAGGGAATAATATTAAATTCAGCTTTTCTACAGCTTATACAGTCACGCTTTTAAGCTGGACAGTTATTGAATATCAACAGAAATATGCAGATATTGGAGAGCTTGATCATATTAAAGACATAATTAAATGGGGAAGTGATTATTTGCTCAAACTTTTCATTCCTCCTAATTCAGATAATTCAGCCCTTTTATTGATCTCTCAGGTGATATATAATATTATATCTATATATACATATAATATGTACATATATTGCATAATTATTTAAATTCTTGTTTGACATAATTTAAGGTAGGAGGGAGTGGCGAAAATCAAGAAAACGACGTTAGTTGTTGGCAAAAACCGGAAGATATGAATTATACTAGGCCGGTTTCGGTTTGTGACGACACAGCGGCTGACCTGGCAGGGGAAATTGTTGCGGGATTATCGGCTGCTTCATTAATTTTTAGCGACGAGGAAGATTATTGTCATAAACTAGTCGAATCGGCAGAAAAATTGTTCGATTTAGCGACGAGGCGGGACCCTTCTCGTAAACTAAGAACGTACACTGAAAAAGACGATGATTGTGGAAATCGAGCTAGAGAATTCTACAATTCGTCTAGCTATATGGATGAATTGGTTTGGGGGGCAACTTGGTTATTTTTCGCAACGGGTGAGGTTAGTTATCTGAAATACGCGACGGATAATTTCGATGCGGCTGAGGAGGAAGAATTGTCGTCGGAAAAAGGGGTGTTTTATTGGAACAATAAGTTGACAGCTAATGCGGTATTTTTTTTCCTTTCGATTTCTGAATTTCTTTTTTTTTATTATTATTATTTTTTATTTTAAGGTTATCTGGTTTTATAAATTCTATGATGTTTAATTTGTTTGCAGATTTTGCTGACAAGAATTAGGTATTTTATGGATCTTGGATATCCATATGAAGATGCATTGTCTACAAACAGGACTGATTTGCTCATGTGTTCTTATCTTTCTTCTTATGATCACAAGCTGAGTGTGACAAATGGTGAGTGAATCAGATTGTAATTTTCGAATATTATTTTTAGGGGCGGAAATCGGATTGAAATCAACACTTTCAGAAAAATTACGATTTTTTTCGGAAGTGAAAAACTAGTTCCAATTCCATCCCCGAAAAAATAAGAAAAATCGGAAATCGGAATTTCAGAAATTGGTATGAAAAAACTTGTTCCAAAATCGGAAATTTTTTAAACGGGATCAAAGGCATTCAGAAAAATCCAATTTCTAGTAGCCTAAAATATGTATTTTTTTGGAATTATTTTCGAAAATTAAAAGACCGGATCGAAAATCGGAATCTCATAGATATTTCAATTTCAATCCCAATCCAAAAAGATGGGAAAAAATCGGAAATCAGAATTTTTGGAATTCTGAATGAAAAATACTATTCCAAAATCACAATATTTCGGATCTGAATCAGCGGAAATCTGAATTCCGTTCAAATTTCCACCCCTAATTCTTTAACCAATGTGAAAATTGATTTTTTTTTATTCTATTTTTCCAATAATATAGGTGGATTAGTTCTCCTAAAACCAGATGCAGGTGCACCACTCCAGTATGCTGCAACTGCATCTTTCCTCAGTAAACTATACAGTGACTATCTTCACCTCCTAGGAAGAACACTTGGCAGTTGCACTACTGCCGTTTTCTCCGCTGACGAGCTGCAAAATTTCGCGATTTCCCAGGTAACAATAGATTATACAATCAATTATCAGAAATTAGTACAAGAAAATTTCTCATTATTGTACTAATTAGTAATTAATCTCAGGTTAATTACATATTGGGAGACAATCCTATGAAGATGAGCTACATGGTAGGGTACGGTGAACGTTACCCTAATCACGTCCACCACAGAGGAGCATCGATCCCTTTGGACGGCAAAAAACACTCGTGTTCTGAAGGGAACAAATACTTATATTCGAAGAAAGAAAATCCGAATAATCTAGTTGGAGCAATGGTTGTGGGGCCAGACGAAGACGACCTTTTCTTGGACGATAGAGATAAACCATGGTTCACCGAGGCGAGTATATCGAGCAATGCTGGTTTAGTGGCTGCACTAATCGCGGTTCATAATCCTACGGTTAAGTCTTTCGATTTCAGTAATGGTATAGACAAAATTGGCATCTTTCGAAACGTCCGTTTGTGACTTTTTCAAAAGTGTTTGTCGATAAATTCGACGATTTTGGAGTAAATGTGAATTATGTGTATTGATAAACAATTATGTGAGGTACAAGAAAGAAAGTTATCAACTAGAAAAGATAGAAAGTTAATTAGGGTACTATTTTACATGTTTGTTTCAACTGTACAAGCTAATATATATATATATATATATATATATATATATATATATATATATATATATGCATGGCTCTATGCATGTGTAAAAGAGGGGGCATCAATTCATAAAAAGATTTAACTAGGCAAAACTGAACGATGTACACAGTTGTTTGAGACAATCTTAAAAATCGACTTCTTCGATCACGTCGATTTCAACTTATCCAACTGGTACATTCTCTGCAAGAACGCGCAAAAAGAAAAAGAATAAATAAACGATCGAACTTAATTATCGATTTTTGTTTTTTTGCATCATTCAATTTATGTACTAACTAACTGAAAAAAAAAATTAATAATAATAATTACTAACCAGAATCTCGTTGTTTTGGTCTAAAACGGGGACGAGTAAAGCGACGAGGTTCTGCATTTCTTCCTTGAGCATAACATTGTCTTCGTCTTTGACCTTGAGAATGTCAACTAAAGTTTGACTATCAGGCACCAATTTTATTGCTACCTATAAAAATTACAGATTATGAATATGCAAATTCGAAAAGAAAAAAATATTTAAAAAAAAAGGATGTTTATTTATTTATTTATAAATGGTAGTATTAACGTACTTTATATGCAGCAGAAGAAATCCATCCATGCCATGGTTTTAAAGTGGTGGCATATGACTCTTCAACAGCTTCCTCCATATTTTTCCCCAAATCCTTCACAAGTAACTGTAATAAAGCTCGGGTGAAATCGAGAGACCTGCATTTTCAAGACAATAACTTTATTTTACAGTAAAATCTTGATAAATTAATAATATCGCTTAAATAATAATTTATTTCGGTCCCGACTCTAGAAAAATGTACTAAATTATTACTCACTCCGTCCTGATTTAACGACGGTTGTTGCGCACACATTACAAAAATCACTAAATCTGCATGGGTTATAGTAAAAAGATATAAAAAATCACTAACATTAATTGTTTTACAACTAATTTAATTAGGAGTGATAAAGGTAAAATTAAAAATAATGTAATTGATGATTTATTGAAAATCTAAAATAATAGTAAATAATTTAGGACAAGAAAATAATTTCATATTTCGGTAAATAAAAAGAATTTTGTAATTTGTTAGACATGGTGTAACGTTATTATTTCCTTTTAGGCAATATAATAAAATAAATATATACTATATATATACTAAAATAAAAAAAAATTAATTACCTATTAAGCCAAACAAAGGCTTTACTGCATGTGGGGCCCTTTTTGGCTTTGCCTTCGTTGACTTCTTTCTTGAGAATCTCAACCACATCCCAATACTTTGATGGATCAGAGTCATGGAACTTCTCTAATCTCTAGATATTAAACAAGATAACATTAATTAATTACACTAGCAACAAAAGAAGAATAAATTAAGGATAAACTAGTTTAATTAATCTCTGTTTTAGAAAGATAATAATTATTAAAAATAAATAAGATAAAAACCCTAATTGTGCAATATGAACTGGCAGAAATAACCCTCTTGCATTAGCCAATTAAAAAACGGCATTATTGGATAATGCTTAGTAAAGTCAGTCGTTGACGAAAATGCACCTATAGGAAGGGTAAAATAGTAAATACACATTATCCAAAAAGAAAAAAAGAAAGAAAGTCAAAATGAAGGGGTGGCAAATTTCTGGCCGTAGTGAAGATAGATGCAGACTTTTTTGGTAGGGATGAATGAAGCAATGCGTGTGGTTTGCACGCACTGTGTAAAAATGACAAATTTGATTTTTAACTTTTAGTCTTCGTTTTTTCAGACAAGGGTTTTTCCTTTTTTTTTTTTTTTTTTATAATTTAAATTTGTTTTTTATTACCTGTATGTTTTGATGAATGTCTTGTCTCAGTACAGCCATTGTTGGCCCTATCTTATCTGCAAAAAATAAAGTAAAAAATAATATTAATTAATTAATAATCATTCGTTTTTGTTTTTTTACTTTGTAATGAAAGTAACACCACATAATTGATAAGAACTCAATTATTGAATGATAGTTCACAGAGAGAGAGAGGAAGAAAGAGAGAGAGAGAGAGAGAGAGAGAGAGAGAGAGAGAGAGAGAGAGAGAGAGAGAATAACCAAGAATTTGAATGAGGATATTGCAAAGAGAGAGAAAAGGCTTGATGTGAACATGATGCTGAGTAGAAGTAGTAGTAGTAGTGCTACTTGTCTGAGTATGAATATCAGTATCAGTATCAGCAGCGGCAACAGAGGCAGCGGCGGCGGCAGGGACGGTGGTGCAACCAATTTTGAGGTTGACCCCGAAGAGTGAAAGCTCCTCAATGGCGGACCTGATCTCCGATGCCGCCGTCTCCGCTTCTCTCATCCTCTTCATTTTTCTCTTACTTTCTCCGGATTTTCTTGAGCCCCACAAACAATATATACTATATATATATATATATATATATATATATATATATTAGCCGGTCGAAGTACTTGAAGTTATTATTATTATTATTAATTATTAATTATTGTATATATAAACCGAGATGCCTATCTGGCTGTGATAAAATGCAATGAATTCAAGAATTTTATTTAAAAGAATTATATACATATATTATATATATGCAGTTGGACGAACTCTCTCAGCTTAATTGATCAGTACTATTTATGTCTGTCTTCTTTTTCTATTATTAATTTAAATATTGATTTGCTTGTATTTTATTGCAGAATTTGATCGTGACCTCTAATTTTGACCTTGGAATTATCTCAAATTTATCCTCTAGATATATATATTTTTTATTTATTTATTTATTTCTAATTTTTAATCTACCCGACAAGACAAGGTCTGTCTGCATCATCAAGACAAGGGAGTTCAGGAGATCCAACAGCTACACAAAGTATTCGGACTGGTTATGTAAATTATATGTACAAGTTTTTTTTTTTTTTTTTTTTTTTTTGGGTAAATTTTAAGTGTTGCAAAATTAACTTTTATTTATTCTCTTAAAACAAGTTGTTAAAATATGTAATTTTAAAAGCACCTCTCGACTTGCTTTTTCAATTTAAGTTGATTTTCTAATATAGTTGCAAACAACATCAACTTCTAAAAATAAACACTTAAAACCAATTTAACTCGCAATATTAACTTTTGCTTTTAAATAAACTTTTGTTATGTAAACTAACGGTGAAAAGTTGGATGAATTGCTCAACTGAACTCTACACGATGCATCTTCTTCGTCTATTTTTACGGTCAGTGGCCGGTCGGTGGTCCATTAGCTTTTTATCACTGAAATTTTGGTTAATTAGTAATTTGCATCTGCCTCCTCTAACTCTAGTATTTGAATTTTTTTTGTTGCTTAACATTTGACGGAGAAATGGATGAAGAGGATGGATGTATATGTCAAAAAAATATATTGTAGATTTTACGATTATTGAAAGGCTGCGGCTATATGCAAGACTAATTCCACTTGTGCAAGACCAAATTAAAATTTTCAATGTATAAATACTATAATACCCTTATTTATTAAAAAAATAAAAAATTCCAAATATGCAAGACCAAAAATTCAAAAAACCCTATCACAAGACCACAAAACCACAAGACCAACTATCATCTTCTCCATCTTCCAAAACTCACAAGACCTTTCTCCTTCCTCCTTCATTAACCCACAAAACCTAGAAATTCAAAATCATCAAAACTCAACAAATCTTACAAAGATGGCAAGTATGGAGTCAGAAGACATCAAAATAGAAGATTCTACGATGGAAGAACCCAATAATGTATGCATTTATGGGTTTTTTTTAGCTAGAATATCGATTTTTCAAAAAAAAATCCCGCGCAAACGAATTCGACATGTACAGGTCGAATTTTACAGGTAAAAATCGACATTTAGATGTCGAATTTGAGGTATAAAATTCGACATTTAGATGTCGATTTTTAGGTATAAAATTCGACATTTGAATTTGTGCTACAAATTCGACATGTCAATGTCGATTTTTACCTATGAAATTCGACGCTTAAGTGTCGATTTGTAGCATAGTTTTTCGACACCTTGGTGTCGATTTTTGTTTTTTCTCATTATTTGTATTTGGTCTTACATGTGAAAAAAAAGCCAATTTAATTTATGGGCATACTTGTCATTCCATCTTAATAAAATAGAATTTTTTGGAATCTTTCTTTAATTTGGTCTTGCACAAGTGGAATGAGTATTGCATATAGCCGCAGCCTTATTGAAATTGATGTGACAAGCTAACAAAGTATAATTGGTCACATTTATTTAAATATTATGAAACCACTTATATGCCCACAGTACTGCTAGCAACATATGTTGTATGAACGCCCCAATTCATGCCGGAATTACAACCATAATCTTTTTATATATATATGTGTGTGTGTGTGTTCCCTTGTGTTGGGAATCTTGACATATATCCACACCTCAAAACTCTGGCAAACCCCATTTTTGTAACTGAATTTGCATCCAATTCAAATTGTTTGGGACCAATCATTTACTTACAATTATTTAATAAAACACACACATTCCCACACTTCATGGATTCCAAATTTAATTAGGTCTGTATGCTCAGTTCTGAAACAAAACCTAGTCCTTTACATATATAACTATTCATCGGTGACAAAAGTTTTTTTCCTTGAGATACGAACTCATCATTATTAAAATCGAGTTTTCGTCGAGCCAGCTCATCAGCCGGTTCACCTCATTTACACGATGAAGATAAGATATTGTATATGAAGATAAGTGGTAGATTTTGAATATTGAAAGAAGGTAATCGATTGATAAAATAGCATAGCGATCGTATGAAGACTGAAGTCCGTGTTTTCATAAAATTTTAGTAATATGGTTGGTTGATCGATAATCATCCGTCAATTGAAATTTGGTGATATTAGAAACCATGAACCGATCCATTATAGATCGGAATATTGAAATTTTCGAACTGATCCAATAAGTCATCAGTTAAGGATTTATTATCGACCTTGAAATATGGATCGTAGGATCGTTAATGGATAAAGCCGACCTCTCTCAATTAAAAAAAATTAGTACCCTCTAATATTTAACAAATTTAATATTCACATACATGAACCTATAGTACAATTGCGGTGCATTAGAATATAGCATTCTTTTCTTTAGATTCCATGTGATGTGATGGTAACATATATATATATATATATATATATATATATATATATATACATATATATATATATACATATATATATATATATATATATATATATATATATATATATATATATATATATATATATATATATATATATATATATATATATATACATATATATATATATATATATATATATATATATATATATATATATATATATATATATGTATATATATATATAATTATAATTAATCTCCACTTGCAATTTTCCATTGACTTGTGAAAAACCAAATTAAAGTGCCATTTTCATTTATTTGACATCACAAAGAAGAAAAGGTTTGTACGTGTCTATGGTTAATTTATAATCTAAAAATATCAATGAGATTTTATTTGTCAAAATTCATAATAATTAAATTTAAATTTGTCACGCATGATGTTATGAGTCATCTCATTGGCTCTTAAGTAATAACTATAGATTAGATGACGTGTATTAAAATGTGTGAACACGTAGATTCCCAGGATAATTCCGGCACAAATTAATCCAAGAATCTTAACAAAATAATGACACATTAAAACAAAAAAAATAAATAAAAAAACTAGATGGTTGAAATATGATGGAAGCTAGCTTATGCAATAATTCAAATTTGTTTCGCATTTACTTGGGATTTTTTTTCCTAGATAATTGTACAATATTATGTAATGTGATCTAATCAATATTTTGTTATTTTGTCAGGTGTATAATTAAAAATTTCAGCAAGTGAACGATCAAATGTGGTTAAATTTTAGATAGAACAAAATTTCAAGGGCGATTTGTGTATTTTTTTCATGTTTGAAGGATCTAGTGGCAATTAATAGATAACCTCAAGGGTGTGTATATAATTACCTATAGTATACACACTACTCAAAAAAGAATCTAAATTTGAAGCAAAAAATAAATAATTAGAAAAAATATATATTATGATTCTCTAATTACGCGCATAGAGTGGACTTTTTACATCTTAATGATGAAATTGTTCTCTGTTAATATGAAATAAATAAATTAAAATACACTATTTTTAAATATCAAAATTCAAATGGTTTAATTGTGGATTAAAACAAATAAAAATAAGTCAAGAAAATATTAGTCGTAGCGTGAAGTTCTACCCACATTAATATATATTATCTTAGGTTTTATTTGATATTCCAATTTACATGATTTTTATGTAAACTTCAGATTCTTTAAGCATTAGATTACATTTATTTTAATCCCAATTATTTAAATGTCTAAATATTCTGATTTATATTTAGTAGAAAAATCTTGCACCAAGTCGAAAAATTTAGTAGAAAAATCTATTGTTTGATTGCCAAGTCGAAGCTTCAAAATGTGACCATGTCTTTTCTCATTTTTTAATTTTTTTTTTAAACAAAATATTATTTGCATATATTTTATATATAATATTATTATATTATTGTGTATATAACAAATAGATACATACCTTTCAAATGCAAAAATACTAAGAAAATAAAATAAATGGCATTATTTATAAAAAAAAAAATGAGATAATTTTATAAATATTTTATGAAACAAATATCATCATTTTTTAATATTTTGGATGATTAGTATTAGGGCTGTGCATGGATCGGTTTTAACCATCAACCAACCCATTTTCGACCCACAATTTGTGATGGTTAATCAACCATCAACCGACCCATTTAAGTTGGGTCGATAATGTCAACCAACCCATGTATAGTTGGGTCGATAATGGTTTCTAATATGCTAAAAAGTTGGTTAGTCGGTTAATATCGGCCAACCAACTTTATTCATTAATTTATTATTTATTAATTTTAATTAAAATATTTAATAGTTTTAATTTCAAATTTCTATTTTATATCACATTTATTAAATTGTTTAATATTGACCAAAATCCTAAAAGCAATAAATCTAACATAATTATCTAATTTGAACTATTTTAATTTTAAGATATACAGTCTAAATATTTGGACGATTATTATTTGTTGAATTATTTATGTTTAAATGCTATATATATGCCCGTAATGTTTTGAATCTTTTATTTGAATATTATTGAACTAGTCGCATTTAATTTATAAAAGATATAGCGTTGTAACAAGTAATAAAATATAAAAAAAAAATTAAAAAATATTTAGATGGATGACCCATCAACCAAACCACCAACCAACCCATTAAATTGGTTTTCAACCATCACCCAACCCATGTAAGTTGGGTCGATAACGGTTTCCAATATTTGCCAAAGTTGGTTGGATGGGTTGGGTTGGTTTTATGCCTGGTTTTTAACCAAACCAACCAACGCACAGCCCTAATTAGTATTACTTTTTTAATAGGTATTTATCTCTCTCTCTCTCTCTCTCTCTCTCTCTATATATATATATATATATATATATATATATATATATATATTTTAAATAACTGAATATAACCGTAATGGGCCTTGGATTATCTAACTTATTGATTAATGATGAATATATCGCATTAAAGCCCAAATTACTTTCAGCAGATTGGGCTAAATTGTGAAAAACAACCGGTCCATTAAAAAGCAAAAAACCGGTCCATTTAACTTACGAAATGACAAGTGTACCCTTGCCTGAGTTTCAGATAACGTGGGAAAAAAAACCTCTACGAGGGTGGGGCAAATATCTCCGGCATGGCGGGTGTTTTAACGGTGACCGTGTCATCAATCGGCGTTTATCGGAGGTCTCTACCCCTCCGGCGCACGCTATACGCGACGAAAGCTATTTGTTCTTCCGTATCATCCTCGAAATGCTATTCGCGAATGGGTTGGAATTCCCTGCAGCGCAGGTCCACCGTACTCCCGTCGAGAAAGCTTGTGATTCGAGCTGCCAGAATCGAGTCCGAAGGAGTGTCCCTTGGTTTCAGAGCACCTGATTTCGAGGTCTGTACGTATTTATAATGTGTGTGTGTGTGTGTGTGTGTGTGTGTGTGTGTGTGTGTGTGTGTGTGTGTGTGTGTGTGTGTGTGTGTGTGTGTGTGTGCGTGCCTGTGAGCGAATTTACTGCACAGAGGATATAAATTTCTTGCGAAAATACATGATTCGAGATTATTGAAACCCTAATTTTGCGGTGATGGTTTCTAATTCGCTTCTCCTATTAATTTGAATTTTAGCTTCCGGAACCTCTCACTGGTAAAACGTGGAAACTGGACGACTTTGAACCATACCCAGCATTACTGGTAATTATATTCTACATTAAAAAAAAAATGTTTTAATTATGTGAACTTATTTTATGTTCGTGATTAATTTTTGTTTTAATTTTGTTTTGCGTGGTCGAAGTGATACTGATTTGTTTATGTGCTTTCTGTCTGTATATCACTTGTAATGTGGTTAGGTGGCAAAGAAAATTCTCCTTCTAGGTTGTTTCATGTCAATTAAACGATCATTCAACGGGTTATTTGAAGGTGAAACTTAAAGGGAATATTAACATTTTAGTTACAGGAGATACTTGAGGGTTCTTCAGTGTAACAAAAGTAGTTTGTTTGCGATAGATAATTTAACATCATAATGCTAATTATAAGAAGTGCCCTTTTTTTTTACTTATAACACCGATTGACGTTCTTGATATAAATCGACATGTTTTCTTCACACATAGGATGGTAGGGTTTTTTAAGGAAAGAGGGGGACCTTGGTTGAATTCGTTAATGGTTCCCCTGAATCAAGAAAGCAAAAACTTGTATGATTATTGCTTTCCGATTGCAGCTGTCGTTGTTGTCAGTTTTGATTGTTTTTTTCTGTTAGTGTAGGTAATGTTCATCTGCAACCATTGCCCCTTCGTCAAACATTTGAAGAAGGACATTGTCAAGATTTCAAACTTCTACATGAAGGTAAGCTATTAATATTGTTATTTTCCGATATTTTTGTCGTTTTTGCAAAAGAAGAAAAAAGCGTTGCTGATTTGTATGTCTATGTGGCAGAAAGGGCTTGCGGTGATAGCAATTTCTTCAAACTCAGCAACTACTCATCCACAGGTTCAGATGAACTTATATCTTCAAATTTTGAGCAGTGTTGAAGCCATTGAATGATTCGTACAGAATTAATGTATACCTCACAGGATGGTCCTGATTTCATGGCTGAGGATGCTAAGATGTTTAACTACCCTTTCCCTTATCTCTACGACGAGGTAATTATTCATCAGATTCCGATTCTGTTTCTTCAAAGTGAATCTGCTATGTCATCGTTTTTGGCTGTCATAATGTTTGCCCATTCTCTTACATCTTTTGTTGTTTTAACTGCATTTGTCAGAGAATTGTTAATGTTTTTTTTTCTTCTCATACTCATCATTGTCTTGCACTATTAATTGAACGTGCTGTATATTTATCTGCAGTCCCAAGATGTTGCCAGAAACTTTGGCGCTGTATGCACACCTGAGTTTTTCTTATTTAAAAAGGTAATTATCAGCTTTGCTAATAAACATTGAGATCATACATAATTATTTATGTTTTTTTTTTAAATTATTTGGTGTTGATCTTGATTTTTATTTTGACGACAGGATGGCCGTAGGCCATTTGAGTTAGTTTACCATGGACAATTCGACGATTCACGGCCGAGTAACAATGTACGGATCACTGGAAGGTTGTTTCCGTACTTGTAATATTTAGAAATATACTCGCACTAATAATAATTATTTTGTTAGGAACTTAATCATGCGTTCCTAACAATTTATTTTTATGCTTAACATAGGGACCTGTGCTTAGCAATAGACAGTGTTTTAAGTGGACAACCTGTACCATCCTTTCAGAAGCCTAGGTATATCTCCTATTTATCTCTCTTCGTGTCTTATTACATGCTATTGTTTTACAGTTAATATCGTATCTTCGTAAAGCATGGTATCAATTTATAATTATCATGGTTGAATCTAAGTTCATTATCTTTCTCTACCGCTAGTGTTGGATGCAGTATAAAGTGGAATCCTGAATGAAGTAAAGGTATAACTAGAGGCGCTTAAATTGCCTTCAAGATGCCATCGTCAGCCTTGCTCTGAGGTGCATGATATTAACTTTGTAATAGCTGATTAAATTTCGATTATCAGAATTCATTTGATTCGTTTTTATGTAAGTTTTGTGATCATTTTCCACGTCTTTGCGAGTTCATTTCATGAACTTAGCAGAACAATGTGGTGCTTACATTTCATATTTTTCGATATCTATTTGTATAAAGTTATTACATTTATTTGACTTGTGCCTCCACATGCCTGTTTTAATTTACAACTGAAGGACTGAAATTTTACTGACACATCCCGTTTTAGTTAGTTAGTTAGTTGCCGTAAAATTTGTATAATTTTAACTTTTAATTTTATTAATTATAATTTTAAAATTTATTTCTGATTTTATGAGACTTCAAAATAGTGCCTAGGAATTTAGTTATTGTGTTTACTTTAATTTGTACTTCTAAACGAATCCAAACGTAGCTTTCGAGAAATGCACATTAAGATATTAAAGTAGGAGTGTAACAATGAAAAAAATGTATAATCTTTAATGTAATTTAAACCGAACTTGTTACACAAAGAACCTATACAATTTCATTACAGCTTAAAAAAGAATGAACTGAAGAACTAGGTATTACAGCATGGGGGTAGAGCAGGAACTGCCTATTGGGAATGAGGAGGTGATCTGATCAGAGGTTTAGATAGCCTGGTAAAACTTCTACACTGAACTGGTGGCCTCTGGTTTGAGCTCGCTTCTTTTCTCGGTTTCTCAAACTCCTCATTCTCATGTTTGATTCCGTCCAGCATGGCGATTACATCCCTCATTGTAGGTCTTTCGTCCGGACAAGGGCTCACACACAGAAGAGCTATTCCTAGTACTTGAAGCATCTCTTCTGTCTGTGTGCCCGACTGTAGGAGTAGCTGTTGATCGACAATTGATGTGAAATCTCTGTGTTCTGTTCGAAGCTCTTCGTAAACCCAAGAAACGAGGTTTTTCCCATCTGGGATTGTAGGATCAGTTGGTTCCATTCCTGTTAACACCTCTAGGAGTACAATTCCGTAGCTATACACGTCACTTTTCTCCGTAATTTTCAAGCTGTATCCATATTCTACAATATAAGGAATGAAAATTTAGTACAGTATTTTGCTTAAATAATTTATTTATTATTTATTATTTTTCAACAATTGTACTTACCAGGAGCTATGTAGCCATACGATCCTGCTACAATGTCTGAAGCTCTTGAAGTGTCTGAAGAACTTACAAGCTTTGCCAGACCGAAATCTGCGAGAAAAGCCTCGAAGAGTGGACCGACCAGAATGTTGTTGGTCTTGATATCTCGGTGAACTATCGGTGGGACACAGTCATGGTGAAGATAAGCCAATCCTTGGGCAGCTCCCATTACGATGTTGTACCTCGTATCCCAATCCAGGAATATTTTCTTCTCGTGGAGCAATCCTGCCAAACTGCCGTTACTTATGTAGTCGAACAAGAGCAATCTTGTTTCGCCATTGTCACAACAACCTAGCAGCTTTACTATGTTTTTATGCCTTATTGATCCTAGTGTTGTGACTTCTGCCGAGAACAAGTCCCTCTGAGGAATCTCCCCTCTATTCTTCGGCCACAGTCTCTTCACTGCAACAACTTGACCCATTGGTGTCTCGACTCGGTAAACAATACCCGAGCCGCCTCTTCCCACAATGTTGGAATCGGAAAGCTTTATCACCACATCTTCGACCGAGAAGTTGAGCTTTTGATATGGGGTGAAATCCCAATTAATCCCTCCTTCTTCGTCGTTTTTCTCGAACGTGGTGTCTCGTGCTCTTTTGTATAATATTACTCCTGCAGTTACCATAATGAAAGCAACGACAGTGAGCAAGACGAATATAGTAAGATTTCTGGCAGATGTCCGTTTATTTGTGCCTTCACTGAGGTTGCACTTGTTCTTGTTGAAACAGAGATCCTTATTACCAGCAAATGTCCCATTAGGAAGCCCCTGAAAGAACTTGGTATTTGGAATCGTGCCCGAAAAATCGTTGTACGAAACATTCAAAGAGACAAGATTGTCTAGATTGCCTAGGACTTGCAAGCTTCCTACAAACATGTTGTGGGAGATGTCCATGTTGGCCAGGTTTGAAAAATTCGAAAAGCTTTTCGGGATTTCTCCTGTTAAATAATTCGAACTCAAGTTCAAGAGTATGTCTAGTTCTTCTAAACGGCCAATCTCATCCGGGATCGAACCGCTGAGCCTGTTGTTGCTTATATCAAGCAACTGCAAATCCTTACAGAGGCCTAGTGATTGAGGAATTGGACCAGAGATGTTATTACCACTCAGCACAAGCTTGTTCAGTGATGTGAGGTTACCTATGCTTTGTGGGATATCGCCTGATATCTCATTGATGGAAAGATCCAACACGTTAAGACCAAGAAGAGAGACGAAAGAGAGAGGGATCGTTCCTGTAAGCTTGTTTCCATGCAGATCGACCATCTCCAGCTGTTTGCAGTTTCCTATGTCCGAAGGGATTTCTCCGGTTAGCTGATTTTCAGACAGCTCAAGAAACCTTAAACTCTCGAGCGTCCTGATTTCCGAGGGGATTTCACCGTCTAACCTGTTTGATCCTAGTCTGAGCCGGATTAAGCTGGTGCAATTGCCGATTTCAGCTGGGATTCTACCGGAAAGTCGATTCGAAATCAAAAGCAGCTTGGTTAAATTCCTGAGATTGAAAAGAGATTTCGGAACCGAGCCAGTGAGGTAGTTATTAGACAGGTCAAGATCTTCGAGTTTCTTGCAATTTGCTAGCTCGTCTGGTATATTCCCGCGGAGCTGATTTTTCCAGGCGAAGAAGAGAGAGAGTTCTTTTAGCAGCCCGATATTCGATGGAATTTCGCCAGAAATGTAATTGTTGTCCAATTCAAGTTGCCTCAAGTTGGAGAAATTGCCAATGTATTGAGGTATTACGCCACTGATGTGATTGTCCGACAAGAGAAGCCCCTCGAGTAAGCCTACGCTTCGAAGAGACTGAGGAATTTCTCCCGACAGGAAATTCATCGAGAAATCAATCACCGTCAAACTCGAGCAGTTACCGAGAGATCCAGGGATTGTTCCTCTGAGATTGTTCTGCCACAATAAAAGCCTCTTGAGGTTTTTGAGGAAGCCGATTTCTTCCGGAATCTCACCGGAGATTCCGTTTTGATAGAGGAACAAATCCTCTAAACTCGAGCAATTTCCGAGTTCCGGAGGGATTTCGCCGCTGAGATTTCCTGTGTACACAGAAAGTGTCACGAGATTCTTTAATTCTCCAAAACTACGAGGAATCTCGCCTGTGATCCCAGTATCTGCAAGACCTAAAAATTGCAGCTTTTTACAGTTCGATAACTGAGCCGGAATTTCCCCATCAATTCCGAGGTTGCCACCTGCTCGAAAGATTTCAAGAACGGTTAACCGCCCGATCTCCGTGGGGATATTCCCAGAAATTTGGTTGTCATACAGCTCAAGCTCCTGCAGTTGTGTGCAGTTCCCTATCTCTTTCGGTATTCCTCCCTGCAAGTGGTTAGAATTCAACGATAACTGCTGCAAAGCCGACAGTTTCCCGATTTCGGGTGGTATCGTCCCTGTCAGATTGTTGTAACTGAGGTCCAATGTCACGAGGGAGGAAGAGTTTCCGACCGAGGACGGAATTTCTCCGGTGAGGTTTCCGTTTGAGAGAACGAGAATCTCGAGGAAGTCGAAGGATAAAACCTCGTTCGGGAATCTAGTGGGGAGATAGATGGAAGTGATGGTGATTTCAGACACGAATTCTTGATTATTACATTTAATGAAATCCCACCCGCATGGATTCCGGTCGGTGGAATTCCATGAAGAGAAGAAGGTGGCGGAGGAGGAAGAGTCGAAGGTCGAAAGCCATGCGAGAAGAGAAAGGCCTTCTTGGTTCAAAGCAGAAATGGTGGGAAAAAACAAGCATATTTTGAGGAACAAGATGAATAAGGTAATGGTGATTCTTGTCATGATGAAGTTTGTCCCTTTTTTCCTGTTATTGTTTTTTCATCTTATTATTCTAGCAAAAATGATGATTCTATCATTGTTAAATTAAATGCTGCAAAAAGGGTCCCTTTTCGATGATTTGTTTGATTTTGTGGAATTTAAATAAATTAATTTGTGATTTATTTTAAATTTTTTTTATTTTTTGCGTGTTTATTTTTGTTATCGGGTGTGAACGTACAGGTATGGCGCGGGTGTCAGAAAATTTGTTAACATTGGACAGGACAAGAACAGATGAATGGAATTAATGTGGTGATATGTTTGCAGTGTACTAAAGGTTATGTTCTTGCATGTTCTGAGGTAAGATCTCTTCTTCCCCACACCTTTTTTTTTTTTTTTTTTTTTTTTTTAATTATTATCCTTCTTTCTTCGGATATTTATTACATGACTTGCCGTTGCCATTATTTCTATCTTGCGTTTTTCGATACTTCTTTTTCTTTTTTATTTAAAAAAAAAAAATAGGAGGTGAAAAGAGAGTATGTTATGTGAGTGTTTTATGTGTTTGTTGTGTGAGATAATGCAGCCAAGGGTTCCAACTAAACAACAAAGACAAATTGCCACCATCAAGATGTGAGAACACACCACAATATTTTCATCTTAATAAAATATCGAAAATCCCAAAATCTGCTTTTTCTGATAAAAGTTGCATATAATATTTGTATATTATGTATTATGTAAGATGAAACTAAGTAGCACCACTCCTCTTGAAATAAAAGGTTGGCATGCATGAACCTCCCAAGGGGGTTTTGTCACTTTCTTTTTAGTTGTATGTATATGCATGCAATAATAAATAATTCCGTGGGCTAATTGTTTTCTTTTCTTTTATTTTATTTGATCTTATTTTATTTTATTTTGATTGGCTTGATGAGTGCCTAATCCCCATCTTAGTTGGAGAAGTCAAAAAAAAAGAAAAAAGAAAAAAAAGGCATGTGCACTGTGCAGCTGATTAGATTGTTTTTGATTGATGGGATGCTGAAATGGGAAGATTGGTAGGGCAAAATGATCCCTCCACCACGTGTGCTGACACCTCTAATTTATACCACCAATCCAAATTTATCTATCCCATTTGATTTGGATTTATTTTCCTTACATCAACTCACAGCACTTTAAAAGCGACACTGAATGCAACATTACATATCTCTCTCTCTCTCTCTCTCTCTCTCTCTCTCTCTCTCTCTCTCTCTCTCTCTCTCTCTCTGTGTATATATGCGTGTGTAGATTTCTTAGCTTATATTAATGCATAAATATCAAGAAATTGTGTGTGTGTGTGTGTGTGTGTGTGTGTGTGTGTGTGAAAATGAAGTCTTATTTGTTTATATGGAAAATGAAATAAATCCAAAACCCGGAGAAACGTAATTCGAAATAAGATTCTTATGTAACTTGTGATTCTTATGTAACTTGTGTACACTTAATAAAATACTTGTAACGAGCCCAAAACCAAATCTAATGTTTGGGCTTGAATATGAAATATGAGCCAGCCTGAGCTTTTGCCTGGTCTGTTGGGCTTAGTTTTGAATTTTATCAACTTTGAAAATTTTGAAGGAGCCCAATAAGAAATTTTAGTTCGATTTTAAATACAAAAGAGAAAAGAAAAAAAATCCAAAAAATTAACTTATGATCCTGATCAATTCCGATGAATTCTGGCCCAATAAGCAATTTAGCACAAAAGGATCTCCGAAAGAAGAGTGAGGCCCAAATAGGTCAATCGGGCAGGAGACTGCCAGCGAGCAAATTCCTTAGCAAGAGGTCAGACGAGCAGAAAATGGCGAGCTAAAGAACCGTCTTACGTTCCGACAATATTTAATACAAGTCCAATGAGATCCTTGTGCATATAACGTTTTTCTAGTCTTGTTTTTCTAGTCTTATCACAGGGTAAATGAAATTTGAATTTCGTGGACATTTTTACTGACATGATTAGATGGATTAAACCATATCATAAATGAGGATTTGGCTATAAACACCGAGCATGCACGGGTGTGAAATCACTGAAAAGGTAAGAACAACAATCCTAATATTAGAAAAATCACTGACTTAGTCGTCGTTGGAGTGCTAAATCCAGCCTAAGTCCGGACTATTCCTCTCCTTTGCACATTTCATTCAACATAAATCACAACCAGATCAATGATTTGACTTGGTCAACTTACAATATCAATATTATTATGTATTTATATTCCTGAACAAAAAAAGAAATCACGAATTTCCGCTAGTTTCAATTCGAAAAACTTCAATTTTTGAACAAGTTTTTTCATTTCAGTTTCCTAACTTTTTTAGAAAAAAAAAAAACATTTTTTCTTGCCGAATGAATTTATTACGTTTTGTGTGCAGCTATACTAACCTTATAAATGTTAATCTGTACGAAATAAAAATACATCATCTTCATTCATACACATCAGTAAACTGCAGTACCATGCATTAATTAGGTTTTAACATAAAACGTTACTAGGGGGTTAGCTATTCGATTTATTATTAATAAGAGTTTGGTGCACATTTAATTTGCAAACCAAACCCTAAAATAGCACAAAGGAAAGAAACAACAATTGTGAATAGTGGTCCTTAATTCATCCCATAATACTCCTATTGTCAGTCAAACATTCCATCTTCTTCTCATCAACTCAATTTATGTTCATTCTATTTATAGATTCTATAGAGTACCACTTCTACCAAATTAATTAATATAAAAATAAAATAAAACTATTACATTATCTTTCAATTTTAATTTCGACTTCTCAACTTATCTAATAATTGGAGGGTTCAATTAGCCCTCCAGTGTTTGGTCGAGACGACTTCAGTGGTACATTTGTTTTTTCTCTCGTAGATCTCGATGCTGATCTATCTCGTAATTTTTTAGCCCATCTTTTAAATAACTATTGATTTCACAATTGATTATATAGGCCCCTACTCTTTGCTATATCAACTAATTAAATGTCAATTTACAATTTTTGTTTATGGTTGTATGGTACCTATTGATAGTGATGGAGATGTTAGGGAATTAACTACACATTGACAAGTTGATAAATATCTTTTTGCCTAACATAAATATCTTTTTTTTTTTTTTGCAATTAAGCACCTTGATTATGCTAAACGCTACCACAACAAGATTGAAATTAATAGCCTCATGTGCCATAATTAATTGTTTCACATTTACAAAGCTACCCACTAGTAAAATCTGCATTGCTAAAATATGAAGAAATAGGGTAAAAAAATAATTATTTTCTCATATATATAAGATTATATAAGTATATTATATATATATAAATATAGACATCATAATTCATCATATTTTGCCACATGTCCTTTTCAGAAAATTGTGACAGCTAACTTCCAAGAATTACTCTCACAGTCTCTCATTCACCCACCCAAATTAAAATTAAAAAAAAAAAAAAAAAAAAACTCCAGCTGATGAAAAAATCAAGGCGTTGAAAAGATTTCATACGTGGACAAATCAAACGAGCCCCAATTATCTGCAGAGATTCTAAATTGATCATCAGGCGTAAATAGCCCGAAATCTGGCACCTCAGCCGTTGGATTTTGTGATCCAAAACTCGGTACATTTGTACCTTCTGACCATAACATATGATCTGCTGCTAGCTCATGGTTGCCGAGAATACCCTGCTGCAGCTGATCAAAAGCATCGCCACAATCCTGGTACACGAAATCCTGACCGTCGATTCCCGGGTGCACGGAGAATCCAGGAACCACCTGCTGCACCTGATCATCCCCCCCACCGTTGACCAAATCCAAGCATCCTCCATTGACCTGATGAACATTATTCTCCGACGAGCCACTGCTACCCCCGGGGCTAAAGCTAAACGACTCGTCGTTGTCCTCCGCATTTTGGTTCACGTAGTTAGCGAACACCGCCGCCAGATCGATACACGTGGTGGACCCCTCCGATTCTCCGCCGGAGTGGCTGCCGCCGCCGCCGCCGGCTGCGGCGGCGGCGGCGGAGGAGGATGAGGACCGGGAGCGGCGGGTCTTGCGGCAGCCGCCGCCGACGGGGACGTTACGGAGGGAGCCGCCCTTGGTCCAGTAGCGGCGGCAGGCCTTGCAGAAGTAGCGCGGCTGAGAGAGGCTGTAGTTGTTGTAGTAACAGAATTTGGTGTTGGAGGAAGCGCATCTAGGGCAGTTTGGCGCCGTCTCGATTTTGGTGGTGAAGTTCCATTTTCTGGAATTTGTGTCCATGATCATCGGCCTCAATGGTGGTGGGCACTCCACAATTGAGTTTGAGTATTGATGATGATCACTTGTTGTGGTACTAATGAACATTTTTTGCAAAAAGATTTGATTTTTATTTTATTTTTTCTTCAAGAAAGAAATATTATTAGATAGTGTGGTGTGGTGTGGTGGATAGTTTGAGTTAGGAGGGAATGTATGTATGTGTGTGTGTATATATATATGATAGATGGTAGATACTATACATATATGACTAGAGGGTTGGTAGTAGCTAGTGTGTGTTTATGAGTTCTATTAATTAATCCTTTTTCTTTGATATATGTTCATTTTTTTAAATAAATATATTTTAATCTATAAATAATTATTAAAATATATATACGCGTCTGAAGTTGTGATCTGAGCACTCTTTTTGGTTAGTTACTACACTGAAAGGTAAACCAAACTACTCAATTAAACATATGAGTCGAGACGACTGTTATCGAGCTTGGTTCGTTAAGTTAATGAATCAATACATATTTTATAAACCATGTTCGAGTTCAATTCAATTTCTTATATACCAAGCTAGCCGGCCACACTCGAACATAATTCTGAAACTCAAAAATACTTGAATATCCATGCATATAGATAGCTCTCACGTCTCGATTCATTTACACTCTACTTGCAACACTAGGACTTTGTAAAGATTTTTTAAGGACAATCTGACTAATTAAAATAAAAGTTTTGCAATTTAGTAGGATGTAATTAATTGTTTAAGGTTAATAGGATAGCAAAGCTTTTGAGGTTTTCAAGCTCATGCTCTAATAAGAAACGATTAATCAAACCAATCGTTCGATATCTCTGTGTGTGTTAATTTCTTAGATGATGTGGTCATTCAATATGGTACTAGAGTCAACTAAAATAAAATGTTATGTATTCAAATTTTCCCGTCGCCCGTTTTTTAAAATTCAACGTGCAAGACTTCAAAATGTAACACGTCTGCACGTAAGAAGAGAGTAGAGCGAATAGAAGCATTGGGCTTATGTGTATAGTGTGTGCAAATATTATTTGGTGCATGAGTGAAATGGGTAAAATAATAAAATTATTATTAATAATTTTATTATTTTTAGAACAAATAAAAAAGATGATTAGAGACAAACAAAATGGGCGGTTAGCGAGCCGTTAGGAGAAAGAAAGAGCATGTGATGCAAAAATATGGCATGTTAATACTAAAGGACACGTCATGATTCATTGTGTGGGAATTATGGCTATCTGTTTACGTTTGTCTAACGTGGCATTTCCTCATTGGGCCTTCTCTGACCGTGATTGATGCTTATTAGTCAAGCCCCTTCCTCGCTGTCATTTCCTTTTTTTGCATCCTGGTCCTCCTGTTATTTTACCTTTTCCTTTTCATCCTTTATTATTTTTTGTACTTCCTTCATAATTAGTTGTTCTAAACTCGAATAGACTAACTGTCAATTAGTTTTTCTTTTTTCTTTTTTCTTTGATAGGTACTATCACTTAGTTATTTTCCACTACATATGTCGACCAACTCTTATCCGCTAATAATATGTTCGGTTAACATGATTCATATTTGTTCGACGACCCGTTATAAAAATTGAAGCTGCACAATTATATACTTTTATTTTATTAAACTAGTAGCATCTGAATTGAAATCGAAATCGAAACCGAGATCGATTTTCGATTGTGAACTAGAAAAGTAACTAATTTTGTATGGCGGGTAAAAAGAAAAAAGGGACAATTTCAGAATTTGTTTTCTTCAGAAAAATAAATTGATTAAATTATATAATAATTTTATTTTATGAGGAGGAAAAATAATAATTTAATTTTACCATATGCCGTCGGCAAGGCATAGACCAAATGCAGAGAATTTCACACTGGTCTAGGGATCGACGAAGATTTAGTTAGTGTAATTAACAGTTCATTAATTCCTGTGTTAGCTTCACGAGGGAGGAATTGCTGAATTCCACGTGCCCATGTGCCTACGTGGCATTATTTCCTCACTCTATGATTTCTTAAACTTTAGTAAAACTATTTTACTATTATTTAATCATTTCAATTTCAATATCTAATTTACTTTGATTTCAGTGTCTGGTTAATCGCACTGCACGTCATTCCCCCTAATTAAATCCACTTTAATTAATTGCAGAAGTCAACCTAGATTCAATATTCTCAAAGTCAAACATAATCTTCTCCTATTTTATTTTTCTTTAATAAAATAATCTTTTGCTAATTACCATTCACTGTTTTGGATCTTGGGCTGGGCTCTTGTTTATCTTATAACGGGTCTTGAAAAGCCCGATATTATCTTTTAGTTAATAAACTTTCACCCCTAAACTTTCAAGTTTATACACTTTAGTCTATAAATTTTGTTTCTTCTCTTAACCGACCCGCATATTCTGACCTCCCGGAAAAAAAACCCTTGGATCCGCCCGTGTCGACAACCCAATTCTAATTTTTGGTCTTCTCTTAAACGACCCGCATATTCTGACCTCCCAGAAAAAAAAAACCCCTGAATTCGCCCGCGTCGACAACCCGATTCTCAACAATATATTAAAACGAAGACATTAATAATTATTACATCTAAGTTGGTTTGATAGCAATTCGTTGTCCCCATCCCTACCACTCTCAACCAGGCAAATAGTAAATGCTAATGTATGATATCCATAACTCCCATTTTTCCCAATTGTACAAATGAGTTAAATTCTTACAAAACAAGTTATAAAAAACATCAAGGTAAGATCAATTATTTTTTTGTATCAATCTTTTGTGGTGCGTTGTAAATTCATTAGGACAACAATAGTTCACGTGGGTGTTTTCGGTCATTTTCTTAGCATGATTATTTGTTGGAACATTTGATAGGTGAGATAGATCCACACTACTTACCTCCCCATAGCTCATTTCTTACTATTTTTCTTACAATTTGTCACAATTTCTCGTGCAATAGTATGCAAACCACACAATAAATGGAAAACCGTGCTGGACAGATCACGCACAACGAGTTCGACTTAGGAGGTATTGGAAACAAAATCGAAATCGAATCTTTGGAAACCGCACTCTCCTACTCCACCAATTATATTACTCTTTTTTTTTTTCTCCCTTGAAATATGTTCGAAATTCAATTAATGATGGCGCAATTCCACGATCATCAAACTAAAATGTGAATTTAGGATAAACTAGTTTGAAATTCAATTATGAAGTTAAATGTTAGGGCAAATTTTGGCCACCCCGAGGTATGGTAAAATTACGAAAAATCCCTCTTGTTTGGATAATTAGTGCCACTCCCTCCTTTTAAATATTTTTACATAAAATTTATGTAACTTGATTATTTACCGAACCAAATCATATATTTAGTTCGGTAAACGGTATGAAAAGTTGGCGTACCAAAATTTCAGTTCGGTTTTACCGATTTAACAACCCTAAATTTACCTTTGGAGGGATATTTTCGTAAGATAATATATAGTTGAGGGAGTAGCTGTAATTACCCAAAAAGAAGGGGGGTTTCGTAATTTGACCATAACTCATGGGTGGCCGTAATCTGCCTAAAATGTTATGAGTAAAAAAAATAAAAAATAAAAAATCTTAAAGGTCCTAAAAATCCAAAAATCACAATAAACCGAATAACATATATTGAATTTGTCCAATAATAAGTATGGGCCTCACTCATTCTCGTCCAGCCCAACAAAATGAACATATTATTTCATGTTCTTAAATTATTCAAACATAAAAGAAAAAAATAATAATAAATAAAACATATATAAAAAAAAAAGAAAAATATATGTATTATGCCTCAGTCCTCAATTTCATTGTCCTAAGCAAAACATAGGTAATTAACCGATAACCTATGATCATAGCAAACATTGCTCCAATTTCAACTCCACCATAATCAAGCTTATGCCCCTTAATCAGAGGAGAATCACAAATTAGTGATAATCCAGATTCACCCCCAAAGCAGCTGTACTGAATCTTCATTAGCAATCCATACGTATGATAATTCAACGATACGTATTTAATCCACGACATAAATCGAGGCACTTCCTGCACGGTACGTACCATAGTAAAAAAAAAAGAAAAAAAAGAAAAGAAAATCGTACGTCAAGTTTAATATAATGCCTTTATTTTAATAATGTCGTACTTTTTTTCATCGAAATACGAGACTAAATCATCGTATACCTTGATGAAGAAACCACCGGATAACATAAATGTCATCACGATAACCGAAGCCAACGTTGTCGCTTTCTTCACATCCATGAATGCCGCACCTATGCTTAGTCCTAATCCCTGAGAAAAAAAAATTCGAAAAATATTTAATTAATTAATTTCGATCGAAATTAAAGAGTTGATTTATATATGTGTTTCGACTTTTACCTGAGCAGCAATAATGCTGAGGAAAATTGTGAAAAGAGTTAGTGAAAAAGCAGAGAAGGTCATCTTTAATCCAACCATGAAATAAATTATGATGAGGAATATAATTGGTAGCAAGAGATCCAAAGGAAGATCGCTCGTATTTCTCGCTATCAAATACGCGCTAAGCTTGTACATATCGACCGATCTTTCCTTTGCCAACATTGCCCTTTCTTGTGGAAATGTGAAAATCGCGTTGAAAACCGGAAAGAATGCCCAAAACACCGAAATAAAGAACAATAGCCCCCCCTATTAAAAAAAAAAAAAAAAACTTTAGTACAATTTAAAAAAAAATCGGGTTTTTTTTTATAAATTGTGAAATAAAGCTCGCCTGATTTTGAACGCTATTTGAGGGCGAAGCATTCGAATTCCACCAAAGTAATCCCACAATAAATGCGGTTGATACAACTTGAATAACACGAAGACTGCTTAAATATTCGTGTCGCCTTTCCTTAAGGCCTCTTTTAAATAGTATAGAGAATTGTGAATTCCAATTTGCTCCCATTTCTTCGGTATTGTTCCTCCGCCAAAGCCCGTTATTCAGCGTAACGGGCTCACACTTTGGTATTCTCTCCACATTACAAGATCTCGATTCGTAAGCCTCCAAAAGATACTACAAGAAAAACAATTTATTCAAGATTATACTAATTTGAGTTAAAAAAAAATGTTAATTTTTTTTTACCTCATGGACATCAAAAGGAGAAGGCCCGTTGATTTTAGTTTCGAAAAATTCGCCTCCCGGTAGAAATTTATCTTCGAGAACCGAAGGGATAGACTTGTCTTTTATATTACCATTTGCAAGATCAATCAAGAATTCGGGTGGACTCATTGCAATGAGTGGAGAGCATCCGATCGAAGAGAAGTACAGCATTGCTTCCGAGGCCTTCCCAAAGTACAACGAGCATCCGTTACTCATTAGAATTAATTTGTCGAATTTGCTGAATAATCTACTCGAGGGTTGGTGTATAGTAGTCACCACTGTCTTTCCAGCCTATGTAACAAAATAAAATTTAAAAAAAAATGATTTTTTTAATGGAAATTGTACGAAAAAAGAAAAATAATAATAATACCCGAGCGATTTTTTGGAGCATTTGAATTATACGAAGGGCGGTAGTGGAATCTAATCCGGAAGTTGGTTCGTCTAGGAAAAGAAGTGAAGGATTGAGAAGAATTTCGTTGCCTATGCAAACTCGTTTCCGTTCGCCCCCCGATACTCCCCTCACAAATGTGCCACCGATCATCGTATTTTGGCACCTAAATAATAAACCACAATTCTTGAAATTATTTATTTTCGACAAAATAAAACCCGAAAAAATTATCGAGAAAGTAGTTAGTTACTACCTTTCTAGTCCAAGCTCTAAAATGACGTTCATTGCCCTTTCTTTCTTTTGTTCTATCGACAATTTCTTGGGAAGACGAAGCAATGCAGAGTACGTTAGCGTCTCTTTTACGGTTAAGTGTGGGAATACCACATCATCTTGAAATACAAATCCAATCCTAAATAAATAAAATTATGCTACATTAGCCAAGATCAAATATAATGTTCGATTATATTTTGGGTGATTTAATTAAATATTACCTGCGTTTCAACGATTTCGAGTACAACTGATCGTTGTAAGTTATGGTGCCACCGTTATATTTAACTCTGCCGCTAAGGAGATTGAGTAGGGTGGTTTTGCCGCCACCGGAGGGCCCCATTAGGGCAAGAACCTCCCCCGGAGAAACCGATCCACTCACCCCTTGTAGTATATTTTTTCCGACGTCCGATTTTTTGTTTCCCTTAATTCTTACCTTGTAATTGACATCTTCAAACTGTAATAATATGTAACAAATTAAAGAAATAATTTTTTTTTTTAATCAGCATTTTAATTTTCTTTGTGAAATATTAATTTATATTATATATATAATAATATAATTATTTACCTTGAGAGAAATACCAAATGCTGGTTCAATCTGTATTTTTGTCCAACTACATGAATCAGGATCCTCCTCTTCAATTTCAACAGATAAATCTGATTATTAATTACATAAAAATAAAAATAATTTCATTAATTAATTCGACCAAAAAATTAAACTATACTTAATAATGCATGCATAATATACCTGATTTGGGATCGTGTTTCGATTCATAAACTGAGAGGAGACCGATTTCGTCGATCCTACGAGGATTATTACTTACAAACGAGTCTGTTTCGACACACGAGTTGATTATTTCATCAATGTTTACTAAAAAATGAGAGCTCAACGACTTCGCTTTGCGCATAGTATTATTTTTGGTCGGGGAATATTCCTTAATATTTAGATCGAAGCTTCTCATTTTCAGCAGAGTTTTTCTACTACTCGTATCAACTTCTTGTTCGTTTAACCGTGGTTCGTTTGCCTTCATCTCCTCCATTAGTTCTGATTAATTAATTAATACCTTAACAGCTGCACCATCGAAAAGAAAGTTGATAAGAAAATGATCGATGGGCAATAATATTATGAAAACGGCACAATTATATACATAACAGCTATTATTTCGTTAAGTATACATATATATATATATATATATATATATATATATATATATATATATATATATATATATATATATAACAAGTTTAATGTAATTATAATAACATAACAAAAAATTGAAAAATTATATAAATTGGAAATAAATTGTAAAAGATTATACATTTGAACAATGTGTGAGTGAAATAATAAGCTTACAGCTGA